TAGGGATAATATAATTACTAAGAGTTCCTTGTTGTGTATATTATAGCATTCTTCTAGTCCTAAGAACTTGCGTAAGTAGTAAGCAATTAGGTGCTATTGTCTATCTTTTTCTTATATAATATATGCTCCTAATACTAGGTCTAAGGCATCTGTCTCTATTTAAAGCAGTTTATTACTCTTGAATATAATTAGTGTTAGGGGATCGATATATGCCTATTATAATAACTTAAATGCGTTATCTTGTTCTTTTCCCTATAAGAAGGGTATATCCTTCTGCGTAAGCTTTGTAAGCAGTAAGGCCTTCTTTAAGTAATTCTTAATAAAACGTCTGTTAAAGTTAATAAACCTAAGGAATTCTTAAATTCCTTTAACTGTTATTAGGGTAGGCTAATTCTTTACTACGTTAATCTTAGTATTACTTATCTTAACTCTATATCGTCCTATAATAAACCCTAGGAACTTAACTTCCTCCTTATACTATTAGCACTTCTTAGGTTTTAGTTAGAGGTCTGCTTGCTTCAAGCATTCTAGCACTTCTATAACATGTTATATATACTCTTCTAGTATTTTAGAGTATACTAGGATATTATCTAGATACGCTACTACTATTCTGTTAAGGTGCGCCCTAAGGACATTGTTAATTAATTCCTAGCACGTAGCTAGTGCGTTCGTTAGACTAAACAGTATAACTAGGTACTTATAGAGTCTATATCTTATTCTAAATGCTATCTTCTATTCTTCGCCTTCCTTTATGCAGATAAGGTTATATACTCCTCTTAGATCTAACGCAGTAAAGTATTAAGCTCCTTATAATTAATCCTGCAACTCTAATATATTAGGTAATAGGTATCGATTCTTAATAGTAATGTTATTAAGCTTTCTAAAGTCGATACAAGGTTATAGCTTGCTATCTTTCTTTAGTATAAAGAGAATAGGGTACCCTGCAGGTAATTCTAATCTTCTAATAAATCCCTTCTAAAGGTTCTCCTTAATATACTTGCGTAGTATACTAAGTTCCTTTTCTAATAACTAGTATAGTAGCCTAAAAGTTAGTTGCTTTCCTTCCTAGAGCTTAATCTTATAATCCTAGGGTTTATGCTTAGGCAGGGCTTTTACTATAAGCTCTTCTTTAAACATCTATGCGTATTATTAATATATATCTAGGATGCTAGAAGTTGCATATTTCTCCTTAACCGCTACTTTATAAGGCTAGAGCTGGTTGCTCTCTATATAGTTAACTACTCTATCTTAGCGCGTCTTAGTTAAAGTAATGTTACTAATTATCTTCTTATCTGCTAGTTGCGTTATAGTCTGCGCAGGTTCTAACTACATTATGCTATATTTACAGTGCTTTAGTAAAAGCTTCTTAAGTGCCTAATCTATCTATAGGTTATGCTTTTATAACTAGGGAATTCCTAATATAATATCGTAAGTAGCTATCCTAAAAGTATCTAGGGTTATTTTCTTATAGTTTCCTTAGATAGTTATTAGAACAGACAATACCTCGTAGGTTATTTCTAATTCCTTAGGCATAGGTTCTCTGTTAGCTACTTGCAGTAGGTAAGGTTCTATCTTCTAAGTAGGGCGTAGTCTAGCTAGCTATATCGCTCGCGAAGAGATATAGTTAGACTATAATCTGCAGTCTAATAGTGCCCTTATTTATACTCCTCCTAACTTAATAGAGAGTGTAACTAGGCAATTAGTACTAATATTGTTAATAGATTAATCCCTAGTGCATATTATTTGCGCTAGTCTAAAAAAAACTCGTCCTTACTATCTAATACTTCTTTGTGTTTAAGGAATCCTTGCTACCTCTTAGCCTTCTTATAGCCTTTACAGTTGTTATATAGGCATTGTTGCTAATATAGGTTTAGGCAGTAATTATTAATTAATAACTATTTAATATACGCATACTAAGTATCTTTTTCTCCTAGGAAGTAGTATTATTATTACTTGTCCTATAAGTAAACTTTGCATATATTATCCTTATATTTATACTATTTATTATAGCAGTATTATTTTATACTAGAGAACTATCTACTGTTTATTTTATTATTATAGTATACTATGCATAAGTCTATGCTATAGGCTATCTATAAAAGGGTATAGTAGAGTAGGTTCCTTATATTAGTTAGGTACTAAGGTATTATTCTTTGTTGTGCAGGCATTTGCCTAACGTCGGGTTTATCCTATACTAGGATATCTTAGCTAGCGCGTTGCAGCGTCTTAATAGTTGCGTAGTTATTTTGTTAATAATCTGCGAACTATTTATTATACTATTCTTTAGGTTTCTTTAGGAGTTTATAGATAGATACTAACGTGTTCTTATAGTTCTTGCAGACTTATAGGTCTAAGGCAACTATAACTAGTATCTTGCTATTATTATATCTCTATAGTAACTTCTGCAACTAAATACAAGCTACTGCAGGTTTATTATCTATAATGTTAAGTATATTGTTATTTAGTGCGTAGCGTCCTGCACTTTCTTCGTTATTGCGTGCTATGCGTTTAGCGCTAATGCGTTATACTGCATTAGCCTAGTGCTTAGCTTCTAGTTATTAGTCTAGGACCTAGAGCATCTAGTTATAATATTCTTAATATTTAGTAGATCTGCGTTATTTAGTAGTATAGACTTCTTCTAACTATTAGTATAGTATAAGTGTGCTGCTTCGGATATTTTGTTAATCCTTATTAGGTTTAATATACTTATTATCTATCCTAGATTCTGTCTCTAGGTCTTCTATAAGACGTCCTATATTATTAGTAATTATTTCCTAATTACTAGTATTAGTAAAGCTAACTCTTTTACTAGATAATATATTAAGCTATTGCGTAACCTTATTCTTGCTGCAATAGTCTCTAGTAAAGTAGCCTATTTTGCTATAGCTATAGCAAGTTATTAGGGGCTTGCTAGTTCTAGAACTACCCTTGTTCTTAATATTCTACTGCTTAGGTTCTTTGTTAATGTTAGAAAGGTCTATAGCCTTAGCGCTATAGTATCCTATGTTAGTTCTAGTATAGACTTATTATAACGTGTTAGACTAGTAGCGTCTACTATGCTATCCTTGTTAGAGGTTATTTTTCTATTAGTTCCTAAAGGCGTGTAGTGCAGAATTAGTAGCCTGCGCTTAGGGGTTACCTTATAATTCTAACTATAGCTTATATAGTTTAATATTAATATTAATTATAGTGTTAACTAAGGCAGTAAAGGTATTAGTGCTAGCGCTAGTGCGCATTAGCTCTTCCTTAATCTTTAGTTTAAGGCCTTATTTAAACATAGTTAAAAGTGCGGTGTTGTCCTAGTTAGTATATATAGCAAGTTGCTAAAACTCTGCAGTATAGTTAGCAGCTAACTTAGTTTATTTAATATATTAGATGTTGCGTCTAGCGCTAGTAACTTCGTTAAACATACTAAACATAGGTTTAATTTGTTCCTTAAATGCGTTAAAGTCCTGCATCTAGATATCTACTTTGTTAGGGGCGTTGCCTGCGTTATATTGCTATATAAAGGGCTTAATCCACTTAAATGCTACGCCACGCATATAGCTGCTAGCGAGCACAACCCTTTTTCCCTCCTTGACGCGCTCGCCCTAGAACAGGAAGAACAGGTCCCATTGCATGAGCCAATCGTCGAGTTTGCTACGTTTGCTATAGTAGAGGTTAGGTTTGTTAACTGTGATGTTGCCTGTGCAGGCAGCGCCATCGTCGGCTATATCCGTGTCGTTTGACGAGCTAGGGGTAGCTCGGTTTCCTAAGGTAGCAGACATCTTGAGGGTGTTTAAAATGTTAAGGTCATACTTTAAGCAAAGCTTATAAGCACTATTTAATTAGTTCTTAGGGATAAATACTGTTAGGGAAACTAAAGGGGGTCTTACACTAAGGAGTACAGATATAATCTATCTGTCTTAAGGGCAAGAGGTAATAATAAGTAGTATAGAGTAGACTGTCTAGCTTAAAAGTTAGGTTAAGATCTAATATTATAGATTAATACTTAGGTTAAACACGAACTATAAGGGTTGTGTTCCTACTAGCTATATACTATAGAGAGTATAGTAGCTTACTAGGCTTAACGTAAGCTGCGTAAGCTAGGCTTACTAAGCTTAACGTGAGCTGCGTAAGCTCTATATAAGACCTACTTTAGCTTAACTACTAAGGAGTAAGCTTATTATATAACTTGTAATAAAACTGCGCTGCATAGGATAGCCCATATAATATTATGCTAAGCGTGTTAGCATTTGCTAGGTGTTAGCATCTAGTTAGTTATAAAAGGAAGATTGTAATATAAGGTATATTATATACTTTATACTTTTTCTAACTTTTTCTTTTTTTATAGAATACTAGTAACTACTTCTAGTTCTTACTAGATAAATAGAATACTAGCTTTTTCTTCTACTTATTTCTATATTTAAAAAATACTAGTTACTCTTTCTACTTATATATATTACTACTAGAACTTTTATTTAAGAGTTTAAAAATAAAATACTTACTTATTCTAAGTAGAACTATTAATTACCTAAAGGTACTAGATATTCTAAATATAAAGAAACTAACTAGAAATTTCTAGCTATTCTAAAAGTTTAATTAGAATAACTAGAAGTTTCTAGAAAATCTTAAAGAAAGAGTAGAATAGAATAACTAGATACTTTCTAAATATTCTAACTAAAATAGAAAATAAGTAGAAATTTCTAGATATTCTAATTTCTAGGTATCTTAATTTCTAGATATTTTAATTTTTAAATATCTTACTTCCTAGATATTCTACTAATTTTTAGTACTATAGAATAAAAACCTAGTATATAAAGAATAAGCTAGGAGTAGTAAAAAACTAATAAAAAAAAACTTCTAGACATTGCAAATTTCTAGATGTTATGCTAGATAAGCTGTTAGACGTCTACACTGCGTCCTTCTTATATTATACGGTTTACGGTCAATACACAGGCGTTGAATAAACACTTATCTATACATGAATTTAAGTATTACTCTATAGCCCTATTGCTTTCTTATGTCTGTGCCTTGTCCTGAGGGAATCTAGCGCCTCCTTGTCGCCTTACCTCATCAAGAAGCCGCATAACCCGTACAGTTTCCTTCCATGGCATAATGCTATTCTGAACTCTACCAGCCGCGATATCGAGTGCGACTGCGTCTGCTTCAAAGTAGAATCCATGCCCAGGTTTTTCAAATTCGTATATCTTTCCGGTATCAGTCGTCCCTGCGGACGATGTGTTGTTTCCGCTTTTCGAATGAACCACAAAACGTTGTGGCGCGGATGAGCCTGGTCCTGATACCACGATATGGCCCTCGGTGCCCTCGATTCTGCAAAAGTCCGAATCTGTCCTCGACCACAGGGACGATGTGAGGATAGCTTGGGCGCCAGTAGGGTATGAAAGGATCATTGAGCTCGCGACGTCGATGTCGTTGGACAATGTCTGTGCCGCAAGAATGCGCGGTTTCTGAGCTTCTTCTCCAATCGCCCGGTCCAATGCCAGGAGACCCCAGGTGAGCGAGTAGATACCAATGTCGAGCAACGAGCCAGCCCCCAGCGCCGGATTCTTAAGTCGAGAATCAAGTCCCAACGCTTCGATGTCCATGTCGAGCGAGAAATCGCAAAACACCCTTTGCACCTTTCCGATCAACTTCTCTTCGTGAATGACCGACTGCAACGTTCGCATGAGAGGGTACAAGCGAGTCCACATGGCTTCCATGACAAACACGCCTCGTTTTGCTGCAGCGGAAAAGACTTCCTCAGCTTCAGAAGCCGTGAGAGCAAACGGCTTTTCGCACAAAACATGTTTACCAGCTGCAATGGCATCGAGGCAGTTGCGTGCGTGAAATGCGTGTGGCGTTCCTATGTACACAATATCGACATCCGAGTCGGCGTACACCTCGGAATAGCTGGAGTAGATGGTTGGTGAGAGGCTTGGTATGAGATCTTTGGCAAAACGTTGTCCCTTTTCCATTGAAGATGAACCAATGGCTTGGATCACGTGCTTTGCCTTAGCATCTGGGCGGGGCAGAGCTAGATCCGATACGAACCATGAGGAAATAAGGCCAGTCGCAACGATTCCCCAACGGAGAGTCGGTAATCCTGGGCGTGACATAATGCAAAGACAGAGTGATTGATTGACTGATTGATTGATTGAACCACTGCTTTTTCTTGTTCCGCGATGGAGCGAAATATATACCTCACAATGAAGGCACGTGGCAGCTGCTCCTTACCTAGGTATGCAAAGATGGCCGCCAATTACTCTCTAACATCTCGTACCAATATCGAAGATGGAAGCAACACTCAGACACTAGGGCCTCATTAAGTGTGGGCCCCGGGGATGTTCAGCGCTTGATCGAAAAGAACGATCAAAATCTAGAAGCGGGGAGTCACGGCACGCGGAAATACGCGATGCACGGGGAATCACGGACAAAGATGTACGTGGCCCAGGGATTAACAGCACACGCAGAGGGTAGCTCTAATAGCCTGTATACCTAGGTAGTATGAAATGAGTCTGCTACCTTGACCAGAGGCATGTCCGTGCGACCACGACCCAGCCATACCCCGGGCCGAGGCATTACTACCCGACTTGCCAGCCTATCTCTGTCTAGACACAGCGACTTGTCTCGATGTTATGAAGTAGTTTCTGCAAGATATCAGCGGCCCTCCCGAGATCTGGTGCTTCTTTCTGCCAGAACCTCAGACCTATAGTTGTCTGGTGTACTGTCTCTCTCCAGCCAGCCGGCACATTTACTCGTCTACTCCTTACAGCGGCAAGAAGCAGAAGAGACTTTGTGAAGACTGAACGATTTTGATACCATGTTCCGTGGTGTCGATGACGCCCACTCCCTCTCGCAGCGTGTTGCAAACAAGCTTCAAGACACTTTTCTACATGCGGCCCAATAAGCTGCTGCGCCGGACTGCCATCTGGCAGATGGATTGCAAGATATAGAAATGGTCGGTAAATTCGTTCAAGAATGTCGGGGAAGCGGGTATGGACCATGTGGTGGAGTTCTTCCGATTGTTGAAGGCTTGAAAGCGGAAGCCCTGGGGTTGCAACAGGTTCTGGAAGGTGATTGTACCTACAGGGAGTTGAGTTTTGCTACCTTGGGAAACTGGAAGGAGAAGGGACAGACACTAACCACTGGATAAGCTGCGACTCTAGTTCCTGAGCTAACCAGATCATCTGGTGGATTGGCATCGACAGCCAAGAGCTCTCGTTCTTTTGATAGAAGATGTTGATCACTCTGTTTGTGATATGCCGAACAGCGATCTCTGACAGATAATAGCTCCAGCTGTTCTCCAACTCGGGGGATAGCATTGAGGCCGGAGCATCGGTATTGCCGACCGTTCCATCTGCTGCTGATTCTGAACGTGGAACTGGACTTCCACATGGAGGTGACGGAAACGCGTCGGGGTACATGACCTTGGCGAGACCCGATGCTGGGAGGCAGACGTCCATCCGAATTTCACTTAGTTGTCAGTTTTGCGTTCCTTCAAAAGCACCGACTATGCTTACCATTCTGATTTCAGGCATGACCAATACAGGCGGCGCTCCAAGCTCTCGTTGACTCCAGCCTTGGTTCTATCCTTGGCTCTCAGGTAGATTTGAAACATGACGCAAGCCCGGTTGAACGAATTCCAAGCTCGCAACGGCCGGAGAGAGTACATCTCATAAACGCCACAAAGGAAATGACATTGAGTGGTCAAGATCGAGCATTTCAAGAGGCTGATGCGCTTCAGAGCGGCGACATAGTAGCTCTCCGCAGTGGGATAATCGTCCGCGTCATCAATACTACATCGTGGGTTGGGGCCTTGTACCAGATCTGACGTGACAAAATCTGATCTATATGGCAATGACAGACAGCCCAACGCGCATGCTAGCAGCTAGAGATGTGTATCAGTAACGAGGTCTTGAGTCAACATCAGAGGTCTTTGTAGCACATACCACAAGACATGACGGTGCGTCCCACTTGAATCCGTGCTCCATGGCATCTTTGGCCATCGACATTGTCTCACTTACGTTGAGAATGGGGTTTTTAATATGAACGTTGAGAAAGAATTTTTCGACCAGAGCAAGCGTCTCCTCGTCTTGGATGCCACGGCTACATCTAGAGCTTCGATCTGATTCACAACTGACAGACCAGGTCGAGACTGACTGGTCTCCACGAGCCATGTCGGGATTGAAGATCAATGTCTCAGTCTCCGAGCGGTGAAATTCACCCTGGAACACCGGCCACTCGAGCACATCTTCGCATTTGCCGAGAGCCGTCTCAGCAAAATCGAGTGATTCAGAGAGTAAGACGGCTTCTTTTCGAGGTTCATAGCGATAAAGTCCGTCATAGTGTTTCTGGCTTGCGATTGCAGACGATGGACTGGCACTGTGATCATCAGTTAGGCCGTTCAGTGGCGGCAACGGAGATATGTGATCGACCTGATACGGGTTGGATACTATGCCCAAAAGGTGAGCATTTTGGACTTCAAGGAGCCTTCTCATGGCCCCAAGCTGGTCCAGGATTTCTATGCTAGCCGGGTCATATCTGTGAGAGGTAGTGCAGTCAGCGGACAGACAAACCCAAGTGGCTGACCGGGAAAACCCACGTTGAGTTGTCGAATTTCAAGTCACCGTAACGGCAATCAATCTTAAGCTCCCGGCAAGAGCCACAACTTGGTCTTACGTTGTCGCATTTCGTCTTCTTCCTGCGGCAAACATGACAGGCCACGAGGGCGCGCTTGCGGGGATAGAAGATACGTGGCTCTTGCGATCGCTTTGCGGGGGTCGCAGAGGCGTTTGCGACTGGTTGACGATGCATGTGCGATATTCCTGGACAGTCACGGCAAAAGATGCAGCTTGGTCGCAGCGCAAGTAAGGATGCATGCAGCGTCAGCTGGGGAGTCGCGGGTTTAAGCCATGATAATTCTGCGCGAGCGTGACTGCGGGGCAGGAAAATCGGCACAGGATATCCGGATGAGAATTAAGTGGAGCCCTGAGCCCCGGCACTCCCCTTAACCCCAGCTTTCCTGCTCGCGAAGCGCAGTGGATGGGTCCTGCAGTTCTTGAGATTCCCCTCGGAAGGGATAGGGTGATGAAGGAGCAGCATTGCCCGAGAAATGTCGCTGTCTATACTGGCCAGCACTACAGGTTGTTGGATCCTTGCCATGGCCTGCCGAGGCTGATTTCATGGTTGATCGACGTGTCGCGGAGGTTACATATATGAGCCTTCTGCGTCCTCCGGACAATCTTCGATGTTCATTTTCTAATCCCTTTGTCCTTTTCGACGTAGAAGGACTTGCCCGCCGCAGGTTCTAAGCAAAACGACTTCATCTCGCAAAGCCCGACATCGCGCAACTCCTTTCATCTTCGAGATGACTGTCGACCTAAAAACCAATGGTGTCAACGGCCATTCGAAACGCATCCTACGAGTTGGCATCATTGGCTGTGGTGAGATCACTCAGGTCTCGCACATCCCTACCCTAGGCTTTTCGTCCGACAAGTTCGCTATCAAATACTTATGCGATATTTCCGAGAATGCTCTTGCGCACTGCGCTGCCAAGATATCCCCGCCTCCCAAGACTACAAAGCATGCTGACGAGCTATGCGCTTCCGACGAAGTCGACGTGGTCGTCATTGCCAACGCCGATCCATTCCATGTACCTCATGCTCTTCTATCATTGCAGTACAACAAGTACTGCCTGCTTGAAAAGCCTGCAGCTTTGAACTATCGCGATATTGATGCACTCGTTGCTGCTGAGGCCACGTCGCAGGGAAAGGTCTTCGTTGGCTACATGAGAAGATATGCGCCGGCATTTCTTGAAGCGATTCAAGAGGTTGGGGGGCTGGACAATGTCCATTACGCACGCGTCCGAGACATTATTGGTCCCAATTCAGCTTTTGTAGACCAATCAGGCACGTTCCCGAAGAAGTTCAACGACTTTGCACAATCAGATGTCGATGAACTGAAGAAGCGAGAGGCCGATATGGTACAGCAGGCTTTGAACGCTGAATTTGGTGTCGAGGTAACACCCGCGTCTCAGATGATGCTTCGAATACTTGGCGGGTGAGCGATTGACTTCCTCCCCTTCTTTAAACGAACAGTCGCTGACCTGCTTACGCAGCCTGGGAAGCCACGACCTCTCTGCGATGCGAGAAATACTTGGAATGCCCAAGAGCTGCATCGGGGCAAGCCTGGGGCCACCTCGGTTCTGGTCCGCACTTCTCCAGTACGATAACTTTTCGGTCATTTATGAATCCGGAATAAACGAGATACCGCTCTTCGATGCTAGCATCGAAGTGTTTTCTCTCAACAAGACAGTAAAAGTCAGCTACGATACTCCATATGTGAAGGGACTCCCCACAACACTTACCATCCGGGAGAAGGTTGAGGGACGGAGTGGGTCGGACTCTTCCGGATATCAGGAAAAAGTTATTAGGCGCACGTATGAGGACCCTTACTCTTTGGAGTTTGATGCCTTCTACGAGACTGTTGTTGAAAACAAGACTCCTAAAACGACCGTAGCAGACGCCCGCAACGATCTGGATGTTTTTGCTATGATCATGAGGGCGGGGGAGCACAACTACCATAGTCTCTAGCTGAATGATCATGTATACGCTTCAAGTCATACTGAAGGGTAATGTCCCATGTCGCAATAGTCTCAATGTGCGACTTCTCGTAAGAGAGAATTGCATCGGGGCCCTTCTAGTGTCCCCGTGACGTTCAGTTGTGCGTGGATGAATACACAACCTCTACTACATAGATTGTGGCTCTCATCAATAGCGTCAATGTGATATGGCTTACGATTAAGGTTTTACGATCACACGAGCACAATGCAGAGCTCCTGATCAACCTTCCCTCATCCTTGCCACGTTATAGCCATCGTGATTTCGTGGAAATGCGAAGAAGATTATACATTGCAAGCCACGAAGGCATATGTCACGTTGTCCTTGTCCTTGGTCCGAAGAGATCATAGGGAAAAGCCAAGGTCCATCACTTGAGCACTTGCGCTGACGTTGTCAGAAAACCTATTTGTGGGCTGGCTGTCGATACTCGGGGCGCAAAGGTCATGGGACTATTGAGGTTCGTCAAGCTTTTGCGGGGAGGATTAGGGTTTGTCGCAATCCCACAAACTGTGCCACTACTGTTCTGGGCGAGCTGAGAGTCGCCTGTTAGCTCACCATCCCCTTGTGAACCATCATATTGACGCATCGAGTCATTGTCCTGCATTAATTCCGGCATTCCCCAGCGGACCAAGCATCAAATCTGCTAGCGTAGGTCGAGCCAATGAGACGCGCGATCTTCCCGAGACTCCCCGTCTTGGTATTGAAGCACGCGGCCATCGATTCTCTTCTTGCCCCGGATCTTGTCCATACCCCAGACTTCTCCACCCAGCCCAAGGACGATTATTAAAGCCTCAACATCAACCGCCATGTTTGCATCGATCTGCATAGGATCTTCCTGATCATTTCCAACCTCACTTGCCTGGAGTATCGTCTCTTCTTCGATTCCTCTTTGGTGCACCACCTTTCCCAAGCACAAATCCATATCGTCCCAGCAGATCTTCAAGATGGTCCTCGCCCACCTTAAAGCCGTCGGGGCAGAACTCGCAGCCGTCCTTCCTGAAAACGACTTACCATGGTACAAGAAACCCAACCTCCGACGCCTGATCTATTCGAGTACTTCCATGTTCTTGCTTGCTTCGGCAAATGGCTACGATGGTTCAATGATGAACGGTCTACAGGCTTTACCACAATGGGAGAATTTCATGGACACACCTACGGGCGCCTGGCTTGGCTTTATTAACGCCGTGCAAAGCTTGGGTGCCTTCAGTGCGTATCCAGTAGCTGCGTATTGCGCGAACAAATTTGGTCGCAAGAGGACAATGTACGTTGCGTACTTCTGGCTTGCTCTTGGTGTCGCCTTGCAGACTGCAGCACAAAACACCACAATGTTCATATTCGGTCGTCTCTTTATTGGTGGGGTCACCTGCTTCTTCTCAAGCGCCGCACCGCTCCTCATCACTGAGACTGCATACCCCACGCATCGTGGCGGTCTGACAGCGCTCTATGGCACGGGCTGGTATATCGGTAAGTAAAAAGTCTAGCGACACTAGTATGAAGCACACATGCCAACATAAGTAGGATCAACGATAGCAGCATGGGCGACGTATGCCACGAGGAACTACGCAGGCAGCGAAGCGAATTGGGCTTGGCGCATTCCGTCCATTCTTCAGCTTTTGATCCCTCTGGTCGCGCTTCCAGGTCTTCTCATAGCCCCTGAATCGCCTCGATGGCTTTCTGCCGTTGGCCGAACGGACGAGGCCCGTGCAATTCTGCAAAAGTTTCATGCCGAAGGCGACGAACATTCGCGTCTTGTTGATTTTGAGATGGCTGAAATATCCGAGACTCTTCGTCTGGAGAGAGAGCGGGAAACGGCCACTACTTGGCTGGATTTGGTGCGCACCAAAGGCAACCGACACAGATTTTTCATCTCCATCACACTGGGCGTTTTCGCGCAATGGAACGGTGTCGGTATCGTGTCTTACTACCTTGCACCTGTGCTGAGGACGGTAGGCATCACATCTGTGACTCAGCAAACCCTCATCTCTGGCTTCCTTCAAATCTGGAACTTAATCATCGCTGTAACGGCGGCGCTTACAGTTGATCTTGCTGGACGACGCCGTCTATTCTTGATCTCAAGCAGCGGTATGCTTGTTTGCTACATCATCATCTCGGGTCTTGCTGGATCCTTTGCCAACACGGCAGCGACTTCAACAGGAATTGCGGTCATACCTTTTCTGTTTGTTTACTACGGGTTTTACGATATCGCGTTTACTCCTCTCCTCTATGGCTACACCTGCGAGATCTGGCCGGTAAGAAACAGTCCCAGATTCTTGCTAAGCTCTGTTGCTTGTTCAGCTAACATGTCCTATAGTACGAACTGAGAGCACGCGGTGTAGCCAGTATGAACCTGGCCACCTCCATGGCAACCTTTTTCAACATCTTCGTTAATCCCATCGCTCTTGATGGTATCCAATGGAGATACTACCTTGTTTATGTGGCGCTCCTTTTCGTCATCACCACCACGATATACTTCTTCTATCCGGAGACCAGAGGTCACAGTCTGGAGGAGATGGCGCGCATCTTTGACGGCGAAAAGGCTGCCGTTCCTAGTGAGGGTTCAATTTTGGGCGATAATAAGGATTCGATAACGGTAGTCGAGGGGGCGTAATGACGTCCTCTCAAGTAAATTTTGAAAGAGGTGTCGTCTTATAGTGTACGTCACTCTTTTTCAAATGTAGGTATAACCAGCTGTGTGTAAATTAGTCGAGTTTGTAGTGAAGTGTCAGACCTGAATACTGTTAGGTAGTATATTATTTGGATATAGCTTAATATTATCATGCAATACTACCACATTTATACAACTTTCTAGCCCCTAAAGACCCTTCAGTGGCTATGACCCCAGAACAAGCCAACAAAAGACTGATACTGATGTTTCGCTCGAAGATGGTGGAAGCATGCAGATGTAGAAAGACGAGTCAATTAGGCGTGGATGAGATATGAAGCAATGATAAAGTCATATTCAGATTTGATATGCCGCCATATTTGGTCCTAATCGGGAACAAACATTGACGTTTCTAGCTTGTTGAGAAGTGCCCAAATTTCCGCGGCCGAATAGTGCAGAGACTCGAAAAAGCTGGGGAGAACTGGAGAACTTCTCTTCATGACACTGATCACGCAATGCTGTTGGCTGGTCCACAACATTATCTAGGGTTCAGAGGAAGTTGGGTAGGAAACAGCGGGATTGGAGCTAGACAAAAACAGCGCGCTGGAATTGCTGACTTCTTGACTGATTTGCAATCTCGCTCGCAAATATGTCCTCGGTACCTGGTCGTGCTACCCGTCACTATTGGATTTTGTAGCTTGGGCTTGGAAATTTTGACCGTTCATTCTGGGTGTCGATCATTACGCCCGTCTAAGATATGTGATGGAGGAGAGTCGCAATCATAGTCATTGACTGCCGCTCATGAATCAATCGAGTCTACACGTTCCGATATTCCAAATATACAAGCTTCGCGGCTAAGTTCCTCACAGGACTAGCGCATGACACGCTCAGACTGAATATCAGGGTTTTTGATCTCATTGAACTAACTGTATTCAACCTAGCTTGCCGAGTAGATGGCGAAAGGCCACTCCACATTTGCGATTCTCTGACTGTGCCTCCCCACCTCTATTTTCCGGCACTCCTTGCATTCATTTATCCGAAAGCCGCACGCTGCTTCTAGATCAGGATTTGGCGACTTCATGTTGCACGCAACGGACAGCCAGCAGACTGGGAACTCCAGGCCTCCATTCGATTCGCCACCCTGCTTTGATGCACCGTCTCGAAGGTACGGCAGAGCGGGCGCACAGCGCATGACTCAAAGTTGCGATTCCTGTCGCCAGCGAAAAGTTCGGGTACTAAGATGCTCCTTCCTCTCGTCAGGTATTGCACGAATTGATTGACTCACGTTTGTCCAGTGCGACGCACGAGAGCCATCTTGTGTCAATTGCGAGAGCATTAGAATCGTTTGCCAAACACTGAAATCCCAAGGCAAGCGTGGGAGAAAGGTGATCGGCAACACTGATTTGCGTGCTGCCCAACGACCCACCGCAGTGTCCCAGATTGACGAACGAGCTCAGAGCCCCGTCTCACTCGACAGCTCGTCACACAAGCAAACGGTTTCATCAGTAAGACCTCGCTTCGATACGTCATTCAGCGGGTCGCCAAATCGTGGTCTCGCCTCCCCACTTCAGTGGGAGAACATACCAGGATCTCAACCTGGCAATAGGACCGGCTGCAGCAGCCTCGCTCCTGTGCCGGCAGCTCAAAACTATGCAGATCAACACTTACTATCTCCCAGTTCGGGAATTTACTCCTGGAATTCTGATATCAATCCTGGGCTGGCAGACGTTGCGGAAGACCTCATCGCCGCAGGCGTAACGGAGGCCCCTACAACCTACATGGCCGCTTGCATGGACCTTTTCTTCGATAACATCTATCCTACGTATCCAGTGCTTTATCGGCCGGCCATTGACATAGCTCTCTCGGATCTAGAGGTCCAAGGTAAAGGCTGGAACTGTAAATCATTCACTCTCATCACGGCTTCCTGCGCATACACCCTGGCAGTGTTGCCCGCCTCTGTCTCCAACGTTACAAGACGCGTCGCTGAGATATTCTACCGGGCATCCAAAAATGGATTGGAAAGCTACGCAGAGAGGGACATTGAGAATCCAGACTACACATCCATAGTGATTCGTATGTTTCACTCAGGGTGGATTCATGCGTCAGGGAAAGTCCGGCCTTCCTGGTACATTATGGGGGACTGCATACGCATCTGCCAGTTGATGCGCCTGCATGATGAACGAACTTACGAGACCATGCCGTACATGGAAGCACAGCTCTGTAAAAGGGCTTTCTGGACGCTGTACGCAGGAGACAAGTCAGCAGCTGTGCTTGGTGGCAACCCAATGTGTCTTAAAAGTGATCTTTTTCCGAAGGGCATTACTGTCACTTATCCAGATCATATGCCGGAACAGGATGAAATTGAGATCACCACTCCAACCGGGGCCAAGAAGCAGATGAGCGTCATGGATGGGTTCCATGCGAATCAAATGCTTTGGCGCTCTGCCGAACCGCTCCTCGTCGCGGGGTTCGGTGACGCGCAAGCACAACGAGACTTCAGCAGCTTGGCAGAGGCCTTCGTGGGGTTTCGGACCTGTCTGGACAATGTCCCCTCCGTCCTGCGCTTCTACAACTCGTTGGAACTATCGGTGTCCGGATTTACCTTCGCGGATCAGGCAAGCCACCTGAGAGTGCCTCGAGCAATAGCGATACAACGAGTAAATCTCCAAGCCTCGTTCTATTGCCTGAGAATGGTTATTCTGCATAAGCTTCCCGAACTGTTCCACAACCGCTTCTTGGACGAACCAGGCGACGTGAGATCGTTTAGAGGCGGGGAGATATCTTCTACAAGTAGCGGTCCCACCACACTTTCATACATGCTTGAGGCTATGCAGATTGCAGAGGATATGCTTGCATTCATTCACACATCTACTCTGGAGCTCATTAGTCTTAATGGTGAGGCATGCGTAGAGAAAATACGCCTTGTTGGGGCTGCAATTTTAGAGCTGATGGCACATAATCTATCCGGTCTGCTAATCGACAAAGCAAAGAAGTACCTCGACCTGTACCCTCATATTTTAGCAATGTTAGACAGCAAAGCATCAGAGGTTGTCAGCCAATGATTATCTCCTCGGAGAATAAGCTCATTGGCTTTCTTGCAATTTTCCGGCTCAGGTTCCGCATTAAAGAAGGTCCATCCTTAATCCTAGGGCATCCTTCAACATATCACTTCCTCTTGAATTACATCTACTGGCATACTACCTCACCACTATTTGTCTTGTTGGTTCATAATGTTTCGTTCTGAAGAGGGATTAACATCCAAATATGCTGCCTCAGCCACCGATCAAGCACCAGTCTTAGACCTGCCACTCCCGCAGGATTTTGTCTGGGGTGCTGCCACAGCTGCATATCAAATCGAAGGAGGAGCTTCGCAAGATGGCAAGGGACCCTCGATCTGGGATGCGTTCTCGCACCTCGACCCCAGCCGTACGAGCAACGAAAACGGCGACGTGGCTTGCGATCATTACAACCGCGTCGCCGAAGATGTGGATCTTATGAAGTCGTACGGTCTTGACGCTTATCGCTTTTCCATCTCTTGGTCGCGAATAATACCTTTAGGTGGGAGAGACGATCCTATCAACGAGAAGGGCATCGAGTTCTACAACGACCTTATCGACCGCCTCTTGGCCCAAGGCATCCAGCCAGTGGCCACACTATATCATTGGGACCTACCTTTGGGGCTTCAGAACCGCTATGGTGGCATGTTGAACACTGCCGAATTTCAGGCAGACTTCGTTAATTATGCCCGCCTCTGCTTTTCCCGATTTGGCGACCGCGTCAAGCAATGGATTACTTTCAACGAACCGTATATCATCTCGATCTACGGATTCCACAGCGGGGTGCTAGCACCTGGCCATAGCACCACTATGGGTAACGACTCAGGAACGGAGCCCTTTCGGGTTGGGCATAGCATTGTCTTGTCACACGCTGCAGCCGTCAAGGCTTTTGCCATGGAATTCCAGCCCACCCAGGCCGGAAGCATCTCTATCGTCATGAATGGTGACTATTATGAGCCCTACGACACGACAAGCGAAGCAGACAGAGCTGCAGCGCAGCGCAGAATGGAGTTCTACATCGGTTGGTTTGGAGACCCAATCTATCTTGGGGTCGACTATCCTGTCTGCATGCGCGACCAACTGGGCCCGCGTCTCCCCGAATTTACGGCCGAGGAGATCAGTCTGCTCCGCCAGACTGCACCCATCAATAGCTTCTACGGCATGAATCACTATACATCTCAATATGCGCGCGCCCGGACCACACAGCCCGACAATGACGACGTAACTGGCAATGTCGACGAACTTTCCGTCAATGCTGACGGAATTGAGATAGGACCTCTCTCGGGGGTGTCTTGGCTACGTGTTACGGACGTTCAGTTTCAAAAATTGCTTTGTTGGCTTTGGGATCGCTACAAGAGGCCGATCTACATCACCGAAAACGGATGCCCTTGCCCTGGGGAGGACAAGATGACGGTCGCAGAAGCTGTAAACGACGAGTTCCGCGTTCGCTACTTCGGATTATACCTCAACGCTATCTCGCGTGCTATATACGAGGATGGTGTGACGGTCTCTGGTTACTATGCTTGGAGCTTGATGGATAATTTTGGTGAGTTTGTTCACACTTCCATTGATTGTCTCTAGTCCTCACCTGAATACGGCTGACTTGTACATAATAGAATGGTCTGCTGGATATGGCATAAGATTCGGAATCACCCATGTAGATTTCCAAACATTGGTTCGAACGCCCAAGAAATCATCAATTTATCTTCGAGACACAATAAAGCGACGCAAAACAATGGTGAACGCGGCTCGCAAAGAGGTACATGGTTGAGAATTGCTGTCAAGTGCTTTCTCAGCCTCAGAGGCTGCAAGGCAGACAGTTCTTTGTTCATCGAGAGGCCGAATCTTGAGTGTTTGCATAGTTTGAGGGACTTGGAATTCAGTGGCAATTCGTCTATAGCTAAATGTAAACAGAAAAGTGATATTTACATGAATTCCTTTGCAAACGAGTGGTAGTTATCCAGCGGCGCATCCTTCTCAATAAGCTTCCACAATTTCTCGATCTGATCCACAGTCTCAGGTTTCAAGGGGCCTGCATCAAGTGCTGATAGTGTATTTTCCAGCTGCGCTGGGCGGCTTGCTCCAAGAATGACTGCATCGCCCAATCCCGCATCGAGTTTGGAATTGAAGACTGCCCAACGATAGGCTAGGTTGACACTCGAATCGCCTGCGTGCTCTGCAATCTGGTTCCAGTGTCTCAGAGCTGCAATCGTCGTAGGCTTGGTGTACAACGTATTGTACATTTGACCGCTGATTGTCGAAGGGTCGAACCTTCCCTCTGCCTTTTTGCTCTCCAAGTCGTCTGGGCGTTTGGCAAAGAAGCCGCCAGCGAGTGGTGAGTAGGCATAAAAGGCAATACCAAGCTCACGCAGGAGAGGGAAAAGATTGTCCTCAATAGTGCGTGCGAAGGCGTTGTAATTGCCCTGGTATACAGAAGGGACGACTCCGCCTTTTGATTGCGCGTAGGCATGAATTTTTCGTACATCTTCGGGAAGGAAGTTGGAAAGACCGAAGCGCTCGAATTTACCCTGGCGATGCAGCGCCTGAATGGCATCCACAGTCTCTTCGATGGGAGTGTCGTTGTCAGGAGCATGGAGGTAATACGTGTCCACCTTGGCGGTGCCAAGGAGCGAGAGGGATTTCTGAATACCATCCGCAAGCGAGGCGCCACTAAGCGCTTTTGGAACGAATGCTGGAGACTTGGTGTCGATGGTGAAAGATTGGGCGGCCTTCACCTCTCCCAGACACTTCTCGCTATCACCATAGACGCGAGCAGTGTCAATGTGCTTAATGCCTCGGCTTTTAAGAATATCCAAGAGAGCCTGCAAGTCGCTCTTTGAGAAGCCCTCAATCTGGTGAGAGCCAAAGACGTATGTTGGATGAGACATCTTGTAGAGGGTATTGACTTATTGTTGGTGTTGGTGTTGGTGTTGGTGAAGAGTAGTTGATGGCAATACTTTGCTTGGAGTGGAAATGTCAATCTAAATATGAAGTAGAATTCACTATTTCCAGACATCGGTAAGAAGGGGATATCAGATTGACAATCATCATGACAATCTTCCTTACTGAGCTTACCAATGGACTCCAGGGCTTTTGCATACTCATTTGGAGGAGGCTGTAGCGGACGAAAGAAGGACAAAACGCTTGAAGTGCTTCCAATATGCGTCCAATTTGTCCGAAAACATCTACCAAAACACGCTACGGCATTGGGACCGGCCTTGGCCAAGGCACGCTACGGCGTCGGTACCTGCCTCTTGCTCGCGCACTAAATGCTTGGTGTGAGTCAACGCGACATAAGACCTCAGCGAGAATTACACTAGTCATCAATGCGATAAGACACTGTTGAAGATGAATATCAATTTTACCTCTCGCAGATCAAAAATAGCCCTTACTGCTCCTAGAGGTTGGGGGGGGGGGGGGGGGGGGGGGGCAACACCGCGACCTTCAATGTCGACCCAGCGGTTTCCAAAGAACAAAGAAGTCACCCTTTCCCTTGCCTGCTTTTGCAGAGTACGTGTTTGGAAACCCGATTGGCGGTACATACACAATCTTCCTAGAGACGCAGCACCCGAATAATCTTAGGGGCGCCAGCAAAGTCCTGAACATTGCACAGACCAAGTTGAGAACTGTAACCGATATCAAATTGCAGACAATCAGACAATTTCAGCAGTAGATTGAACATCGTATTCAATAAGATGCAGGCACTAGCTCCTCTGTTCAGCATAATCACCCAACATCTTGCTTTGCTGGGACGTTTCAGAAAAGAGGTCAGCTGCACAGCGCATAACACATTAATCTTTTCATGAGCCTGAAGTTGGTGTACTTTAGAATATAGAGTACAGTTACGGAAAAGAAGAGGCTTTGCGCTTCACTACACGCCAACGTTCTTGACCGTTGGAATCGATCTTGACCAATTCATCCTCATAGATGCCAGAGCTTGTAGAGGTTGTTCCAGCTTCATCCCCACAAATAACAGTCGTAACGTATGTCGTAACCTTTGCTGAGTTGGTTCCGAGGTTGATAATCTGAGTTGTAAGGGAATGTTGCGTTGAGATGTTTTGCAAGATGCCCTGCAGAGACTCCTGGAACGAATTGAAGCTTGTGTGGGAACCGATCGGAGCTGGGAATATGACAGTGGTGTTGTTGGTGAAAAGTGTCTCGAGAAATCTCCAGTCTTTCTGGTCGATTGCGACCGCCACTTGCGCAATTGTGTTCCGAATAAGTTCGTGTGAAATCGACATATTGTTTCGTAGTGTAGTAGTTCTGTCGTGTACAACTTCTGTTCTCGCGTGCTGACGACGCATTTACTCTACTTATGGTCTCCGTGATAAGAGTCTATCAGTACCAGGATTGAGCAAGTTTCGTCCGCCGGAACCGGTCCCTTTGGCGGACAAAGAAGCTGCACGTATTCGAATAGCAAAATGCAACAGTTCTAAGAATGTTGTAAATTGTATGCAATTGCTGACAGGCGCCGGGGTTAACAGGTAATGGCCTGAGCTTTTCGGGCCGATGGCGTAAAAGGCGCAAGTGTCTAATGATTTCTAATGCGCACTAGCTGGCTTTAGTCTGGGATATGCGCGAAAAGAGGCCGAGGTAGGCTTTGTGGGAACTACCTGTGATGGTCGGACCAGAACCACTAACCTTTGCAATGGTTGTTACACACATGCTTCGCTCGTATTGGGAGCTGGGGAAGTAGGCTTCTGGATCCATATACTCTTGGGACGGACCAGTTCGGTCGATTGTCAGGACATAAAAGTATGGCATCGCCTCCTCTAAGTCGAATTTAAGCAACAAAAACACCATGTCGAAAGTGAAAGTTCTAGTCGTCGGCTGCGGTGCTGTGGGCTTGTCTCAAGGGTATCATTTATCCGCTGGTGCAGATATTACCTACCTCGTACGCCCCAGTCGCAAATCTGCCTTCGCACCGCCAAAGCGACTCTATTCATACAGAGACAACCAGGTTTTTATCTTTTCATCCTACCACGTTATCGAGTCTGTATCCGAAGTTTCTGGGGAATCGTTCGCCTTTATCCTCGACACGCTAGATGGTCACACCGCACGATCAGAAGGCGGAGTGGCAACAATCCAGTCAGTTGGCAACCTGATCAACGAACCACAGAATGCAGACTGCTTTGTAGTCTACGACGCTGTCAGCCTAGACATGGAAGAGCACTATGCGCGTAATCTACGTATTGCGCCATCTCGACTCTTTCTCGCCCTGAGTCTGCTCGCGCACCAACCTTCGTCTGACATTTCGATCCCTACCTCAGCCAGCAAGGATCTGATTGCTAAATCTGATCTTCTTTACATCGACAATCCCCCAAACGTGGGCTTAATGGCCTTTAATACGCGTCCAGCACTGTTAAAGAAACTCCAAGCTATCTACCACGTCAACGGAAACATCACTGTAAAGAGTATTCCTGCGTTTACGGCACCTTGGGCCCCATTGATCATAGCAGTGCAGTTGGTTAGCTGGAACCTCGACGGGTTTGGGCCATTTCAGCGGTTCCGCGCCAACAGTGAGCTCTGGCAAATGATGCTGCGAGCACAGCATGAGGTTCTGAATCTGCCTCGCTTTGGGTGGACAGGTTGGGTAATGTCTTGGGTACTAGGGAGTTGGGTTACAGAGAAGATGAATCTATCGTTGATCAAGGGGGCGAAGCCTTTGGACTACGCAGAATTCAATGCTTTCCATCATGGTAGGAAGGTGTCCAGACAGGACCGGGCGATTTTGGAGGATCTGCTAAGTGAGGGAGAGAAAGAAGGGAGGAAGATGCCGGCACTAAGGTATCTAGTAAGACGGGCAATGCAGCTGTAGTCTGGCAAATGAGTTCAGGTTGGGCCGGGGTTCGATAAGGTCACTTAAATATCCTTACCCCTACCCAGCCTCTACCCGCGCCACGGGCTGCTAGGCAGGGTCGGGGATAGGTATTCCATAATCAAGGTTAGGTGAGATTTATGTAGCCCTATAATGTAGCCTCTACCTAAGTCTGCCAATCAATGGTGCAATAACCAGCTGCAACAATTGACCCGATTCGACTACCTCGTCTCCACCAGACCCTCCTTCAGCCCCTAGTCTAAGCGGCTCCTACCCAAACTTAAATTCGAGTCTGTGCAGCTCCTACCTAGCCAGTACCTGTGGCCCGAGTGACCCCCAGCGCGTGATCTGGGTGAGATGAGTGCCCAAGGCCACCAATTTCAGAACTTCTTTCGTTTCCCTGCTCCAGGGGAGCCGGGGCAGCCGGGGCAATAGAGGCTGCGGATGCGGTGAGGCCGTCTGATCAGATGGGATGCAGAAGGAGGGGAGAGCGGTGTGGTTTATGTGATAGAAGAGGTTGTATACTGTATACTAGGAAAGTACATCCCTGTTCATTTTGCTTTGCTCTGCTTCGTGTGTGTCTGTGTCTTGGTTTGTGCTCGTATTTGTGTTTCTGAGTGCGATGTAGCGGGTCATTGGTGGAGAGAAGAAGAGGAGTGGTGAGAGGAGTGGTGTATGGGTTGCAAAAAGAAAAGAGGGGTTAGGGGCAGGGCTCCATGGGTTTGAGAGAAGAGTAGATATGTGGAAGGGAGCAGGAGTGGGGTGAAGAGAGAAAAAGAGGAGTGCAGGAGAGGGGCGCGCAGTCTATGGTAAATGCAGAAGGCTGTGCCGTAGACGAAACAGTAACTCTAAGAAGGACATGTGCGAGAAAGAATACAAACGAAACGAAGCCCAATGGGCGCAGCACGTTGCACTGAGGAAGTGGCATCGCAGAGGAAGCGACATCACAGATGCAAAGGGGCCAGATAGGCCTTTATCAAAGCCGTGGTCATTGTCAAGTAAAATTCCCTACACAGCCTAAGAAAAGAAATGCGGTGAAGCGACGACAGACAAGATACAAGCCACGAGAGCCACGAGCCATGAGTCACAAGACACAGGCGGACGAAACTGGAATCGACCGGTATGTGGTTAAACGGGCGATATTGCGTGGTCTCTAAAACTCGCAACCGAAGGTGGCAAGTGAGAGGAAGAGTGGACTATGCCAGAGGTCCGGCAGGTGTGCTGCGAGATGGCTTCTGAACCCTGGGGTACCGCAACGCTCCTCAGAAGGGGGAATGAGGTAATGTAGGGTGGGCTAGGATGTCTTTCTGCGCCGTTCTCGTAGATGGAGTCGTGCGAGGACGCGACGCTGTTGACTCTTCCGACTGTCTCGGCGTAGGCATGCATGCTTGTGAGCCTCGTCGTGCTAGCTGGCTGGTTGGCTGCGAGTGTAGTGACATAATATCACGTATAGTGGGTGAGGGAGAATGAAGGACTGAGTTAATTGAATAGCTATGAAAGAGGGAAGCTATGTATATGTGTGTATAATGAGAGAGTAGGGATAATCCCGGTGATACACCCCCCCCCCCCCCCCCCCAGTCTGTAGCAACTGCGAAAGGCTGTATATATGATAATGTAACCTAGCCAGCTAGTCTAATAGGCAATACGAGGAGTCTGGCTTTTGTGGAGCACGTTAAGGCGTGTGGTGATGTCCTCAAGGCCGAGTTGACGAGTGAACTGGATGTGGTTTTGCTTGGGCAGCGCCTTCGTGAGGCCGTCGGCAGGCATTTGGGAAGTAGAGGTCAATTGCACATTCAATTCTCCTCTCTCAACTGCTTGGCGTAGCCAGAGCTGGTGTATGTCAACGTGCTTGAGCTTAGTTTGAAGCCTTAGTGACGATCCCGACCGTCTTTTGGTTATCGCAGTATATGACTGGAGTGATGCCGGTCTTGAAGTTGAGTTGGCGAAAGAGGTCGTTCTACTATATAATCTTTGAAGCGGCACGGCTGAGAGCGTATAGTTTAGCTTCAGTGGTCGATTTGGTGACTGATCGTTGCTTCGTAGCTCTCCAATCAATTGGCATTCCGAATAGCTTGAAGAGGTCGCCATCTGAGCTGGCTCTGGTCAATGGATCATCGGCGAATGAGGCGTCGGATGCTCCAAAGAAGATAGGCTCAAGCTCTGGATTTTTGGTATTAGGCGTGGTATTTGGCGTCGGCCCAGGAACTGGGTATCCAGTGTTGTCAGGGTTGGTTGGTATTTATTTTTCGTCTGTTAATAGGGATTAAGTCCACCATCTTGCCTCCCGAAGGGCATATAGGACGTGCTAAGCTACGGAATTATAGTGCTAACATACTACCTTAAAAAGCATTTCTTGCCTGCGTGGGTATTACTACTATTTTAGAACTACAGCTCCTATTCTAGTTAGGGAGGCTAAGCGATGTATGTATATTAACGTACTGGATAGGTAAGTTAACCGGATAGGTAAGTTAATTACTCTGCCAAGACCCCACCAAAATTCTACCTTCTTACATAATGCTACAACAACAACGCAAATTAGGACCTTTAAAGGAAGCTAGGATATAAACTGCGCTTTAGGCTATTAAATAAGATGCAACAATCTCTCTATAACGCGCTGCAACCCTTTATAACATATCTCATATAATATTATATAATTAACACGCTAAATAACCTATAAAAGCTAATTATATACCTAAATTAAGAAACTTAGATAAGAATAAGGAGAAGGTAATTGTTTAGTATATACTTAACCTAGCTATAAGAGGATTTGCCCCCTAGCTAGCTATAGTAGCTAATATAGCTAATTCTTTATATAAGGAGTATAATCTAGACTATATTAGCATAAAATAGCCTAAAATATTTATTAAGCACTACCCTAAGCTCTAAGTAAGGTTTAATTATAAGTATAACTATAAGTAAGCCCTCTATAAGGATCTAGAGATTATATAAGGCTAGTTCTACCTTATATAGAATACTAAAGCTAAGTATAGCATCTAGAACTAAGATATATATAACTTTAATAAAACTAGGTTTATAATAGGCTAGATATTAATAGAAGTAGTTATTATAGGCTTAGAGCGTTAAAAACAGCTAAAAGTAGTTTAATAGGGCAATTAGGAGTAAATAATAGTTATTAAAGGTATAAAAAGTATAGAATAGGCTATTCTACTCTTTATTATCTTCTAAAGCTATAACTACCTCTCTACCTAGTATAAAGAGAATATAATACTCTATAACTAGATTATTATAGTCTCTAAGAATAGTTAGACTATAAATAAGCTTAGATTCTAGTAGCTATAGTACTTTAAAGCCTATATAGAGAGGTATACTATAGAAGAGTACTAACTATTAATTATTAATAGCTATAAGAGCTATAACTCTCTCTAATTCTAATAATACTATAAGGAGAAGAAGATTATTATACTCTATATACCTCTATACTTATTATACCTTCTATAGCTACTTAATATAGGTTATTTTATACTATTAAAAAAGGTTATTAAGGTTATACTTTAAGCAAAGCTTATAAGCACTATTTAATTAGTTCTTAGGGATAAATACTATTAGGGAAACTAAAGGAGAGGTTTATACTAAGAAGTATAGATATAATCTATCTATCTTAAGTATAAGAGTAATAATAAGTAGTATAGAGTAGACTATCTAGCTTAAAGGTTAGGTTAAGATCTAATATTATAGATTAATACTTAGGTTAAATATAAACTATAAGGGTTATATTTCTATATATTATATACTTAAGATATTCTATAGTTATTCTAATATTCTATAATATACTAGTATTAGGATATATTAGAATATTATAGGATTCTTAGAATAATATATAATATATTCTATTATAGCATTCTACTAAGACTTTAGAACAGGAGGGGTTATATTGTTATTAGTCCTAAATACTAACCTTCTTAAAGACCTTTAGGTTGTCCCTAAGTGTTATTAATTCTTTTATCTCTTATCTTCTATTATGCCCCTTCTAAGGTTTATAATAATATTATAGACTCTTTACTTCTAAAAGTAAGTATTACTCTATAGTTAAATCTACTACTACTAGTCTTTGCCTCTAGAGGCAACTACTATTTTTACTTCTAGAGGTAACTTAACCTTATACTATTAGTATAGTTTAGGAATATAGTATTAATAATTAGTCTAAAGCTAGGCTACTCCAGTATTAGCTTCTATAATAGCCTTGCCCACTTTACTAAGCATAAGCTAGGTGCTTTAAAAGAGAGATTCTAATAATAGTAGCTGCTATTAACCCTTATATAAGGCCTAGAAGCTCTAAAATATAGTAAATATTAACTCTTAGGCAGCTAAGGTCTAGCTAGTAAGTAGAGGGGATTGCTAAAGCGTATAGAGTTTAAAAAAGAATCTTCGGACTTATTATAGCACAACTACAGAGCCAATAACAAAGTTTAGGATTCAAGACGTCTTAGAAACATCGTTAGCGGATCAGGCTGTAAAGACTTGCGGCGGATGAGGCTGGGCAAATCCGATAAAATTGTAAGGCTCATTCGCGCAAACCTCGGCAAGGATTGATCAGGGAAAACAGTAATCGCCTGGCCAATGAGCGGAGCATATGTACGCGGCCTAAAACGATGCCGAGCCGTCTGGCACCCCGCATAGTAGGCCTTGCTACTGTACTCAACGAACTGCGAATGGTCCTTGCGAAGCTAAGGCCAGGAGATATGTTACGCGAGGCTAGTACTGTCGTGAACGTACCTGCATTGGTAAGCGTGCTGTAAGATTCTTTTAGATGGGCTGGGGTACTAGGGTCAACGAAAACACTAGACACACACTTTAACAAGATTATTCTACACCTCTGAACATCCCGCGCTCAACAATCTGACACTTGCCGTTGCGTTGGTTGCGATGGGTCCGTCGATTTGACTCTATAGGCAATGTAGCCGATGGGCAATCGCTTGCCCCATCTGCTGTAAGTCCGAGACCGACACTGGCATGATGTTGAATTTAGACGGAAGTCCTGTGTTAATTTTCGCACACAGCCTACTGTACATTCGGCGACGTAGCTTCGAAGACGGAATGTGCCTTCCAGATGTCGGCAGGGTCGGCAGATCCACTACCTAAGGGACACGGTGTATACGGTTGACTTTTACCCTGATTCTTAGCCCGCCACAAATCGATGGCATGATACCCGCACGAGCTGGATAATATACTGGGGCATTCCAGAGGATCTTGCGGAGATGACACTCATCATGAGCTCTAACTATAGGCTCAGAGCTCCAATCTGGACCAATGACAGCCTACGTTCCCCATTGAAAAGCCTGTACATGACGACTCCCCGACCTTACCCTTTAGATGATTAAAGTCGGGTTCGTGTGGAGATAATGAGACATCCACTTTGCCATCTCGAATTTAGGGCCGACGCGCGTTGTCTTGTCGCAAGATGGAAACCCATGAGTAAGGGTGTCCACCAGTATAGTACAAGGACTACACACACCACACCACATGCAACAACATACCCTCACCTTCCACTCGAAGCACCGATTTCTGCACCATGAAGTATCCTTCTCTTCGTGCCTTTTTCGCTATCTTCCTCCTCTCCCACCTCACAGCAGCTGGTCCTCAAAACGGCACTACCACACCAGTAGGCTGCAAAAAGCTCAACACTGATATTGGCTGGCCCTCACTCGCAGAATGGCAAGCCGCACTCCCAAATGTCGTTCCAGCGATCAAAAATACCGACAAATGGGGCCCTCTGCCAGACTACCGCCTGCAGGCCAAATCAATCGAGGACGTCCAGGCAGCTGTGCGCTTCACCAAGCAGCACGATATCCGTCTCACGGTCTTGACGACCGGACACGATCAGCAGGCACGCAGCGACGCTGGGTCTGGTCTAATCATCGACCTCAGTTTCTTCCAAGGCGCGAAAGTCCTGCAGAGCTACACGCCTACCCCAGAGGGTCAGCCATTCGTCGGCATAACCACTAAAGTCAACAAGATCAAGCCCCTTGAGGGCGTTCAAGCGGCAGTCTCATTTGGTCCTGCGGTTGCTGGACTTCCGCTCAACTACGTCGTCGCTGAATCTGGACTATTCACTGTCAGTGGAGGTGCAGGTACGTCTCCAATTCTCTCTCCCATATCTGACACTCGTTCTTACGTAATTCCCGTACAGCAACAGTAGCAGTCGCGGGTGGCTGGGGCCAAAACGGCGGCTACGGGCCCATGACATCGCAATACGGCCTCGGCGTCGATCAATGGCTCGAAGCCCTCGTCGTAACTCCCGATGGCGAACTCCGCGTAGCAAACAGCGGAACCAATACCGATCTCTTCTGGGCGATTCGCGGAGGCGGAGGCGGCACCTTTGGCGTTGTTGTGCAGGCGACGTGGAAAGCATATCCCACGGTCCCAATAACGGGATATAACTGGTATATCAACGGTACGTTCAACGCCTCGTCACTCAAGTCTGGTATTACGCCGGTGAGCCACGCGGTACAATACCTCATGGGCCAGTTCGAGGACCTGCAAGCCAATAATGTCAGCGGCACGTTCTACGTGCGGCCCGACAACATCCATGGCTTCGCTATTCACCCGGGCAATGGATCCGGCATTGCCGCCGCGAACGCCATCTGGGAGCCCATCTTATCACACATGCAAAGCCTTCCGGGTATGACGCCTTTTCAAACGCGTCCGTTCGCTTTCGACGGCTACAAATCCTTCTTCGACGGCACATACGGCCCTCTTGTGCTGCAACCCACGACCCCAGAGCACCGCCGCGCCAGAGGCGTGATTCCGTACGACAGCCACCTTCTCGCCGCCGAGCACCTCAATTCACCTGATCTACTGGATGCGCTCAAGAGCACAGGTGGCGGAATGGGTCTCATGCTGCACAGTCCTGGAATGAAGCAGGGCGACGGCTCAGCGACGTCGAACACTCCCGCCTGGCGCCGCGCCGTCGCGCTTGTCATCGCCAACAAGAGTAACGCCACCTCCGCCGATGGGTTGCGCGCACTCGCTCCAGATATGGGCACGTACATCAACGAAGGCAGCGTCAACGAACCTGATTACACGCAGTCTTTCTGGGGCAGCAACTACGCGCGCCTATCGGCCATCAAGCGCGATATCGATCCCGACATGCTCTTGTGGGTGAGCCCCGGCATCAACGCAAACTACATGCACGTCGTGAACGGGCGCGTGTGTCGCTTGAATCCTGTGCCAGAGGGACCTGGAAGGTTTGCGCCTGTGACGGAGCGCATGCATCCTGTTGACATGGAACTTGATGGAAATTTCATCTTCGGAACTCTTGAATTGACTGGGAAGATATTTCCTATGCCGGGGCTGGAAGTGGGTATACGTGATTAAGTTTCGTTGTGGGAGTCGTGGTTCTGAAGGGGAGGGGTTGTGTGAGCATGATTTGGGTAAAATTTTCTTTTGACTTCAGTGATTCTTACATTTTTGCCTTCTATGGAGACACTGGCAAAGAAAGGTGACTTGTAGCTCCTGGACTGCTCGTTCTGACATTGTCGCATTAAATGCCTCGGCAATCGTCTCTGCATGTACACCATAACATGCACATGGACGAATGGCAAGCGATTTGCACATACACTGAGGTATGCTGCTCCAAATTGAACCTGCCGCCAGTATTTGCCTGCTACTCGATAGTGGAGAGAATGCATTAGCATTTTCGGCGATGTTGAGGATTAGAAATCACCGAGCATTCGTCTCGCTGCGAACCCAGTTGCAAACTAGCTCCAACACATCCACTTAGAAATTTATCCCGCCACAGCGCTCGACTTAGGCTGAGATTATAGCGTAAAGTGCAGCACTAGTAGGAGATCCAGAGGCCTTTGAAGCCTTTGTCAAGATTACACAGTACCACGCAAAGACTTGCCCCCGCTAGCTCTTGCAGTCCTGCAACAGCAGCAAGTAATGCAGCACCTGGCAGAACTATCCATGCAATCGCCACAAACGTACAATTGAACACGAGAGCTAGAGAGGATGCAAGGAATGCAGCTAAGGAGGCGGTAGAGGTAGATAAAGCCAATCTGCAGATGGCAAGACAGATCAAAAGCGCAGGACCAAAGGAAGGTGGCGCTCTGAGCTACGCTGCGATGGAAGCAAGGAGCGCAACACTAGCAGGTACATCAGATACACAAGTTACTAGAACGGCTCCTATGCAGACGCAGCGTGAAGTCGTCGTGACTATCAGAGACCCCAGTACAGTGCTCAGCCCGCGGGCGATGAACCCGCGCAACCTCAACGCGCATGTAGAGCGCTACCCACATCCGGACCACTTCATATCTCAGGATACAGACTTCAGATTCTCGCTACCATACCATTAAAGACACACAACAAATACAAGACCAATGGGTACAGCGTTGTATATGTAGAAAGGCGCCTCGTGTCTTTAAAGGGGTCCATTCTAGTAATGTCAGTTCTACAAGAAAGGTTCCCTAAAGATCTGTTAGACTTACTAGACTGCTTGCGAATTTAATAAAGCGAAGAAAGCTGCGTAGAATTATTAAACCACATGCAGCATACAGGGCTAATATATCTCTCTGTGTAGAGGGCGCAATTTAGGTCGTGTTAACAGTAAATTTGCCGATAACTCGTCTGTGCCAAACGAATACAGCAACCAGGAAGACTACAACATTGACAATGTGTATGGCGATGCCAGACAGTAGGAGACCTTTTCCAGCACTGGAGTGTTCTCGACTTGCTACCATTGCACCGGCAGATGTAGCCAACTGGCATACGATATCAACTCCACTCAAGATTTTAAGCATGAGAGAAGGCTTAATAAGTGCACTCTGCGGTGCAACCTTAGTTGAGATCTTGTTAAAGATAAAATACATGGCCGAGGTTGCCATCAGAGGAGTGAAGAGGAACAGAAGTGGACTTAAAGCGAAAAGAGGGCCAGTAGGTCTGCCCTTGCTTCCAGGAATGCGGAGTATGTAACCCAATACTTCATCTAATTAAGATATGGGTTAGATGTGATCTTATTGCAAGTTAAAAGTTTTTGAGGCTTACTAAAAGACGCCATGGTAAGTACAACAAGGATTTTAATGTGTGTTAGTTTGTAAGTTGTTATAAATTAAAAAATATAAATCCTAGTAATTGCACTAAAAATTATACATGCAACAACAACTCCTGCAATCAAGGGTCTGTAGTCGAAGAAGTAGTTACCCTTCAATAACATTCTGACGGTGTTAAAGCGAGGAAGAGAGTAGGGTCCAAGTAATCCCGAAGAGTAGCGTAGTAAACTACGGGAACGCTCCTATGTGCTGAAATGGTGGTCGGTATGTCGAGAAAACAGAGTACTTCCAGGCGGTGTTAAGTAGTGCGACTGTCACTGCGTTGTCACTTCTAGAAGACGCACCAAACAGCCTAATTCAGGAAGTCTCAAGGAAACTTAGCCTTGCTAACAATCAAGAGCAGAATGCTACAGGGACAGGACAAATACCCGCAAGCACTCACCTAGGGTCACACTGCGACGGGCTATGTTAACAATTTGCAGTCAATACACATCGTTTAGTAGGTATAACTAAAATTCTGTCGCGTGCACAGCCTTAACCTAATAACAACGCCCCAATTTAAACATTAGAATTCCATGCATTGCGTTTTAAGCAGCCAAGACTTGTTAACGCTGTAAGACAGTTACAGCGCTTTTACATAAGACTAGCGCCATTTGCGTACCAGTACTGTATGTAACATATTAATAGAAATTGCGGCATAAGCCGCCCACAGCCGCGCAACACTAGTATTGCTGAAACAGATCATCCACAGTTTTCCAGTTAGACATTATCATCTTGCGTATTACGGCAAAGTTTAGGCTCCGCCACAAGCAGTAACAAAATGCAGCCGCTGCTCCAGCCACACACTGTATCTCAATTACAATTTGAATGGATCCACTAGACCAGCAGTTGCACATATGTGAAATGCCCATATATAGCAGGGTCTGATAGGACTGCACACCTTACAAAGCACGTAGCTCATGCGTACTAGCCATCAAAACATATACTCCACCTCTTCATTTAGTGCAAGTATCTGAACCGCATCTAGATAGTGCAACATCGTATTTATGCAGTGATGCCAGTCGTTAATATTATTAGGATTGACTAGTCTGATAGTGCAATCACTATCAAAGTGCAACGTATAAACCGTATTGAAGCACATGCATCAGGTATCGGGCCGGCTCCTGCAATGACCTGGGAAAGCCTATGTTGCTGCTTTCGTGCAATGGATATAAGAAAGACTCTACTATCATCTGTTGTACAAATCGATCAGAAGCCATATCCTGGAGCCATCACGATGGAAGCCATTAGCTTTAACGGCGCTGGCCACACATTGCAAACCGTTGCGGTCGCCTCCCTTATCTTCTCAGCATTCCTCCTGCTCTCTAATCTCAGGGATCGTTTCCAATTGGCCAAATTGCCGGAATTAAAGAGCTGTAATAGCAGCGAACAGCATCGCATGGCATACATGCAGTCTGCACTTAAAATGTACAGTGATGGCTACAGGCAGGTAAATGAGTTTTTGATTTTGAGGCCCACAACAATTTTGCTCACAATCTCAGTTCAAGGACCGTGTCTATCGCATTGCTTCAGAAGATGGTATGTATTGCTTGTCCTTAGGACTGTCAGCATTGTACACTGACATAAGCCCTTCTATTAGGAAACGAAAACATAGTCATTCCTCCTAGTCTTATGCCCGAGGTGCGAAAACTTCCGGACACGGTACTGGACTTCCCGGGGGCGATCGATAGGGTAACCTCTACTGATGTCAGGTTAGATCTACATTGCTAAAATCACATAGATGATGGAATCGAAGTATACCAAGTACTCCAGCGAAGCACCTCTCATGGTTCACTCAGTCAGGGCTGACCTGACTCCAGCACTACGTGAGCTATTTGACTGATACATGGATACAGGACTGACACAAACGTAGCACGGCTGAACCGCGTCATTCTCGAGATATCCGACCAAGCTATGGCGGAGCAGATGCCTCGGTGTGAAGACTGGACGCCCGTTCATATTTACTCGAAGCTCTCTATTATGGTGGCCAAGATCTCTGGTCGCATGTTCGTCGGACCTAACTTATGCAACCAGCCAGACTATTTGGAGTGTAGTGTTGCCTATACTTTCGACCTCATCCACGCCCAGCACGCCATCAAACAGTTACGTCCCGTTCTCAAACCGTTTCTTGCCTCGAGGCTTCCAGAAGTCAAACTTTTACGCGACAGAGAATTCAAAATAAAACAGGTCCTAGCTCCGGAAGTGGAAAGAAGGCGCGCAGCTGCAGCGAACGATTCAAACTATGTGGAGCCCGATGACCTTCTCCAATGGCTACTCAATCGAAGCAGCCATGGTAATAAAGAGGCTACAGTCGACGAGATAGTGAAGCTACAGCTTGCTGTCATCTTCGCGGCTATTCACACAACTGCCATGACGGTAACCAATATGTGCGTTTCCGTGGCAGGCTTTCAACACGTTACTATGCTTACATCATAACAGACTGTACAGTCTCGCCGTCACTCCAGAATATATAGCTCCACTTCGCGAAGAGATTCGCAACGTTTTGGCGGCAAACGATGATACTATCACAACACAGGCGTTGTCGCAAATGGTGAAAGTTGACTCTTATATGAAAGAAGTATTTCGGTTGTATCCTCCCGGTGCAAGTACGTATCAGAAATCTATTGGGGATATTTACGAAACTAACAAAGACACAGCTTCCTTCACTCGACTGGTGAAGAAAGGCTTTACGCTATCCAACGGGCAATACATACCCCCTGGAGTGACCATCGAAGTCCCATCGTACCCAATTTATCAGGACAGTGAGGTCTATCCAGACAGCGAAAAGTTTGATGGCTTCAGGTTTTCCAAACTCCGAGAAGGTGGTACTGCAGCAGAACAGGCTCGAAATATGTTTGTGACCACAAACGAACACAACCTCGCGTTTGGCTATGGTAGACATGCCTGCCCTGGAAGGTTCTTTGCCTCCAACGAGATCAAGATGTTGCTGGCGAGGCTTGTACTCGACTACGACATCAAGAATGCAGACGATGTGACTGAAAGATACCCGAACATGTATATGGGCAGGTCGATTTCTCCAGATGCCACCAAGCTGTTAATGTTCAAGAAGGTTCCTGTTTGACTGGGCTACATTTTGGCACAAGTTTGCTACCAGACATTATAAAGCTATAGAACTGCATATAGGAGATTCTGAAACTGCAACTACGATATTTATTATATCTCAATAGACTCAAAATTTCCTATATTAGTATCAACATCTTTCGCAACCCACACATCCACCTCCCCTCTGCACGCACTGAATACGTTTCAGAAAGTCTTATTGTTTGAACGACTGGAGATCACCGTGGCAATGTCCTCGATAAGACGTCAGACTGCCCACATATCTTTCCAGCCACAACCATGTCGCCGTTAGATATAGTCTGCTTCAGCCTCTCTCATCTAACTACTCCTGTGAACTCGACAATCACCTCCAGGTGTCTCAGCGCCTTTCTCCACTTTCCAAAGGTGACTTCTTTGCCCTATTTTAGCCTGACTAGGTATCTACGTTCACTGAAAATCTCATGTCAAAGGCCTTCACAGCCACCGGCATACGCCCAGTAAATCCCGACGTTATACTCGATAGGTTCCGCCACACAAGCCCTGAGAGCTTAGAATTAGTCTCCTCTGGATCCACAATTTATTCTGCAGAGAATTGTCTCAAAGCCTGCACAACCCTTCAGGCAGAGGTGAAGGATTCGCGCAGTGTGGGTGCCCAGAAGCTGGGTCAAACTATCCACCATCTCTCATCTCAAGTAGAGCTGCTCCAAGTTGAAGTAGATAGGTTATGCAAGAAGCTCTACCAAAACAGGAAGCGCCAGAAGGCAACCCAATAGGCAATTAGACCTGCAGCAACATCAGGAGTATCACGAAGGTGCAATAATGTGGTCTCTTCAAGCCTTCCGGGAGGCGCGCGCTCGCATGGCTGTTGCAGAACAAGAGGCACAAGAAGAGGAGCTCAAAAAAGCAGAGATGAGAGAGTTAGCTGCTGCTAATAAACTCTACAAGGAGAAGATTGCAGAAGAGAAGCGTGATCAGCAGGTAAGGGAGAAGGCAACAAGAGACCAGGCCAAGGCAGAGGAGCAAGCAGCCATCAATGCGCGCAAGGAGCAAAGACGCAAGGATTAGGAAGCTCAAGACGCTACAAAAGCTCATAAATTATCCCAAAGAAGTAATCGTCCAACCTCAAAAGTTTCTGCTGGTAAACAGAAGCCTGCGCGTCGTGCTGTGTGTGCACGTAGTCACCCAAAGCCTGCGATGCCTCCTCCACCACGCCCAACTATCATGGCACGCAGCAGCCGCACTGCTACTAAATATTAGTAACTTTGTATAAATATCTCTGTTGCATAAGTGTATAGATTAATCCATCAACAGATCTCGTGATATTGACTGTTGTGTGTGGCTCTATAGCCTCACTCTTGTGGTGGCCGTACAGGCTCGGAGCGTACATTGGTTGACTCCGTGCATTGGGTGCACGGACACGGTACCTACACCGAAGACGACCAGAGCGACAGAGAAGACCGGCCAGCTGGTGCGTAGATCGAAGCGGAGGAACAGGCCACACGCGATTGGTCGTGGTGGCCCAGCCGGCCCAGATGGCCCATCGATATCAGCCAAGACGCGAGGTGAGTATGGCAACGACAACAGAGCCTGGCGCGAGGAGGCAAACCGCTCTCATCGCAGCCGCCGCCGCTGATAAGCAACCCGGCGAGATATTCCTGGCAGAGGCGAACTGCGGGTTGACAGTCGAGGCTGCGCTGCGGATGCTGAGATTGCTCCCAGCTGGATTGGACTTTATATTGGAAAGCCCGTGCGCAACGTGGCGTGAGACGGTGTCGTTGCGACGCAGGACTGATCTTCCAATTTTGGTCGACGAAATCGCAACAAATATTGCCTCGGTCATCCAGCTTGTTGCCGATGATGTGGCCGACAGCGTCAATCTTGAAATATCCAAAGTCGGTGGACTGACAAAGGGTCGTCACGTACGAGACATTTGTTTGGGTGCGGGATACACAATCACTGTGCAAGACTCTTGGGGCTCTGATATTGCGTTTGCTGCTATTGTTCACCTCGCTCAGACAATTTCCAAGCGGTACCTGCGATGCATTCTGGACGTTTGTGACCAGTCTTCGCTCAGGACTGCGGACTGCGAATATCATACTTCGGATGATGGAAGTATTACGGCACCAAACACGCCGGGTCTGGGTGATACACCTCGCTTAGAAGTCCTAGGAGAGCCTGTGGCTAGTTACTCCTAGCTTCAATAATGATTCAAAAGTGGGGTGTGTTCATATTGACGCCCACCTAACACAGACTGGCCGAATACTTCATTCGTACTGCTGGCAATTGTGCAATGTGGGAACTTTTAATCCTAGCCACTGTAAGTACAGCCAATGTGTATGGAAACCTCTCAAAGGCCTCGCGTATGAATATTACATCTATGATTGAAGGGGTTATTACTTTCTACAGCGTCTCTAGACTGGCCACTTGATGTAGGCCATCCAGTGCAACTCTGCCAATACCGCAGAAACAAATCGTATGGTACCTTCTTAGTTGCGGGAAGTTCAATTACCAGAGTGGCACACACTCTGTACTCTTCCTTAACCTCTCATTCACAGCCCCATGAGCCTACGCTTATGCACAACTGTTGATGGCTGGAAAGGTCAGATATTGACCCTCTGCAATCGTATCCAACTCAGTAACATAGACACTGGTGCTTCTTGACTTGATTTGGACTGCGTGTATTACTCTAGATAGCAGATATGACCCTCAGGTAAACGACTAATCGTGAATATATAAAGTTTGTTTCGGTTCTCATGTGTGCTCCTGCCACATGGATACTCTTCCTCCTCGTACTTTGACTTCACAGCCGATGTTGTGTGACACGTCGCATGCGTCATGACTCCAACTCCCAACTCTAACCCACCAGTCGCACCAGACAATTTGAGAACTGTTGTACCGAACAATAAAGATTCTGAACCCTCACCTGGTCATACAGTACTTTGATACAGTACTTTGATGTTTTACTGGTTGACGTGCCGTTCGAAGAACTGTTGAAGGGGCTGTTCTCTTTTTTGGAAAGGTCACCTCTCCCTAAACCCGTTCGCACCGCGGAAGCAGTGTGCGATCATTAGGAATTTGTACAATTTTCAGTAGATTCTAGTCGTTGGGACCTATCTCCTCGGTCTGCAGCTGCATCAGCAGCGCGCTTTCCCTCTTGCTGAGCCGTTTGTGGAGCTACAGTATGTCCTTGGTGGACATTGGTGTGCGTCCTTAGGTCGGTCGTCCTTTCTTCCCTTCTCTTCCCGTCATGCGTTAACCACACACTCTCTGCTTGTGTCTTGGGGAGTATCTTCACGCAGCGGCCGAACCGTCACTTTGTACAGTTAATTTGCATGAACGAACTTTGTCGTAATGGTCTATAGAGCACTTCACCAGTATGTCTTGTAGTCATAGCTATTGTGTGTGGCTCTATAGCCTCATTTTTGTAGAAGGCAGATGTTGGTGGCTGCGCTTATCACCCGAACACGCGCATCACGTGCACGAGCACCGCAGCAGCTGATTCCGCATCCGTCGCATAAGGCGCAGACATTCGCTCCACTCGAAGCGCTACGGGCTACAACAAGCGAGAGGGCGACAGAAATGCATGTCTGGAAAGCTGTGGCTCTGACCGGCACCACCGCGCGATCAAGAGCACGTCCAAACAAGTTCACCTATTGGCCAGGCGATCACCTCGTTTTCTGGCTAAGCACGGGCCAGTTTCTGCTAAGGTTGCGAAGAGCCGCACGATTTTGTCCGTTCTGCTCAGCCCCCATGGACGCGAGTCTTCACCGCCCGGTTGGCTCGCTACGATGATCCCGGATCCCTTTAAATCAAAAGATTTGATGCCAACTTTCCCGTAGTAATGCCGTTTTGGGAAAAGTGTAGAACGAACGTGATACTTTGTTTAACTTAGCACGTCTTTCGTTTTCTCCTTCGATGTATGCCCAGCAATCCATCGTACATCTGTGAAAGGGCACTTTACAAACACTTACCTATCATCACAGACTTTTAACACGACTTGTCAAGGCGTAGACCTGTCGTTCTCACTCCACAACCTGTTCTGGCTTTTTCCCTAGCGCCTGGACTTTTATCGGAACATTTCTGCGCCTAGCAATCTAGAAGCACTATACTAAATTAGATACAAAGGGCGCATACAAAATCTAGATTTAGATGCTAATAGTGCAAGATAAGACATATAAAGGTAGTAGTTTCCTATACGCAGGTAGTCGTTATGTGCAGTATTAGGCTAATTATAATCATTAAACAACATTTATGTTAAAATGCGCCCTCCTAGATAGTTTAAAGGTAGCTGGTTAATTTATCTGCCTTTATTCAAATCTAAGAAGAAGACTAACACTATAAGCAGTGCAACTTAGAGTAACCCTCTTGCGGAAGATATATTAAGAAAAAAGAAAACTATAGTTTCTTTCTACTAGCTCCTTTATTACTTCTTATAGTTATATTATCTATGCCTACTACTACTTTATATAATTTGCAACCTACGCTATTAATTAAGGATTATTATACTATAAGCAATAAACGTTATAACGCTATAGCTGCATGTTACTATAATAGCAGCTGTCTAGATAGGCAGAATCGTGCACTTTAGGACTATAGCTATTCTAACTACTATAAGCTATATCTAAATATAAGTTTAATATCTTAGCTACCTAAAATTCTTATCCTGCTATATCTCTAATTCTAGGACATATAGAAAGATACTTAAAGTGCACTCCCCTCTATGCTCTAAGACCTACTCTACTATTATAACTATATAACTAGTCTTATAATAGAAAACAGCAATTAAGTAATAGCTGTCTAGCAGTCTAGTATTCCTAAAATTACTATAGATTATAACTTTTTAGTGTATTATATACTCTTAATCTTATTACTACACCTTAGACATCTTTTTAAAGCTAAAGCTTAGCTAAAATAGATAAATTACTAGAATACTATAGCAGCTTTGCAGATAAACTATACTCTTTTAGGTTACTATACTAAGATAGAGAGAATTACTAGGTAAAATATAGCTATAGTATTTGCAAGCTTAGCATTAATAGCTATATACTTATTCTACACCTTAATTATAGATTTTAAGTATATCTAAGCTAGCATTCCTTCTTGCTATATCTATACGCCTAAAGTTGTAGGTAGAATAATATTATATATTATAAGTATAATATAGAGGCTATAGAGCCTACTAGAGGTTCTTATAAAAGGTTAGAGCTAGTTAGTTAATAGCAGAATACTGCTAGTTATATTAAGAAAATAGTAGCTAAAGACGCAGAAGCTAGCTAGTCCTTATACCTGCAATAAAGATAAAAGGTTATACTAGATTAAGGACTTATAGAGGCAAATAGACTAGTAGTATAATCTATACTTAAACTACTTAAGTTAAGCCTTAGGCCTTCTTTATAAAACTTACGCCCTTATTTTATAACTTATTCTATTTAAAACTTTAAAGGCTTCTTATAGGTTTAACACTCTAGTTAATTATAGTGCTATATTCTTATAAGTAATATATATACCTTAGGAATATATCTAGCTTATTAAAGCCTAAGATTATAATACTCTAGTTATCCTAGTATATTACGCTGTTTTACTTATGCAGATAAGTTTAGTATAGTAGCTTAAAGGCCTTAGATTAAACCTTATTATAGCTATAGCAATAGCGTTAGAGTTAGGATACTAGAAGCTAATTAAATAGCTAATATATATAGCTAGTATAGATCTAACTTTTATTATATTATAAGATTAAAGCACCCTTTAAGGGGGTCTACCTCTAGTAGAGTCTCTATTTATTTACTATCTTTGCACCTATAATTAATATATATCCTAATTAGCTAACCTAGTCTAGTTTATCTTCTACTAAGATAGTTATAGGAAATAATCTTGCAATACTACAAGTATCTATATTATACTATCTCTATTATTAGTATTAGGGTATATATAACTAACTATTTGCTATAATAAATAGTATGCAAACTGTATAATCTAAAAGAATATACCTAGTAAAATAGCAATTTATATAATAGATTTAGTAGTAGAAAAGCTATAGCAGGTATATAGCACCCTCTCTAAAATTAGAAAAACTAGGAGTAGTAGTATTATATTATAAGCCTTAATTATCTAACTAATTTACTAGATCTTAACCTTATTAAGGGTATATAGAATATTATTAAAGGGCTAGTTAAGCAGCTACTATACTAGATTAGCTTAATCTTAGGGCTTAAGGGAGCTCTATAAAACAAGTTTAACAGGTCTTGTAGATAATACTTATACTCTTCTTATAACATCGAAGTTAGATTACTAGAATATTCTTAAAGGTACTATAGTTCTTAGGGTTTTATATTTAGCATTACTTTCTATAAACCTTACCTAAGAATATACTTTATATAATATTACTAAGCAAGAATAATAGAAGGAATTTAATAAGGCACTAGAGGTTATATAAGTAATTCTTCCCTTATTACTAGTTAGAGCTACTAAGTATAAAGGCTCTAATAATCTTGCTAGGCAAGTAAGTAACTATTAGGCAGGGAATACTAAGAGTCTTATCGAGCATATTAGGAAGCTAAAATAACATGTCTTAAAAAATATTAATTAATAATAGAGGACGTTTAAGAGATATTACAAATAAGGAAAGAGCTATAGCTATAAGATAAAGCAGTAGTATAGATACTATAGCTAGAATAGCCACGAAGCTTAGAGCTAAGCTATGTTCTAGCCTAAGCATAAAGGGATATTATATATATATCTTTAGTTATAGGAGATATTCTCTCTATATATAGACGTGCCTAGCTTAGAAGAGTTATATACTATAGTCTTAGAAGAGAGAAAGCTAATATAAAAATGCACTTAATAGGGGAAGGTATAAAAGGGGCAGAATTATAGAAGGTCTAATTAGATCTATAAATTATAGAATATTATATAATAAGTTAGTCTATAGTTCTATATTATAAGTTTAAGAATAGAGTTAATATATAATAATATATATAATAGTAGAGATAGGGGCCTAGATCTTTCTAGTAACTTATTTTAACTCTTACTACTCTATAGAGAGATATAGCATAAGTTAATTCTATTACTTAGTAACAGGAATTATATTAGTAGTTAGGTTTATATAAATTTGTCTATATATCTTATTAATAGCAATAGGCCTATAGCATTAACTATATAGTAGTTAGGACTACTAACTAGGTATAATTACTATTTT